CAATAAATGCCCTTTCCCCCCTCCCCCCACAAGTCTGAGTTTCCAGCATGACCATCCCCCAGATGGTGCACATCTCACTCATTATGTATGTATATACCCGCTCCCATCCCCCTCCCCCCTGCCCAATACCCTATTACTGTAGTACCTATGTGTCCACTTAGGTGCTGTTCAGTTAATACCAGTTTGCTGGTGAGTATATGTGGTGCTTGTTTTTCCATTCTTGGGATACTTCACTTAGTAGTATGGGTTCCAGCTCTAACCAGGAAAATATAAGATGTGCTATATCACTGTTGTTTCTTAGAGCTGAATAGTACTCCATGGTGTACATATGCCACATTTTATTAATCCATTCTTGGATTGATGCCTTGCCCATTTTTAATACAGTTATTTGTTTTCTTCTTATTGAATAGCTTGAGTTCCTTGTATATTTTAGATATCAGCCCCTCATCCAATGTATGACTTGCAAATATATTCTCCCAATCTGTGTGTTGTCTCTTCACTCTGTAAATTGTTTCCCCTGCTGTGCAGAAGCCTTTTAGCTCGATGCAATCCCATTTATCTATTTTTGCTTTCGTTGTCTGTGTTTTTGGCGTCATATCTGAGAAATCACTGCCAGACCAATGTCATGGAGCTTTTCCAATGTTTTTCTTTAGCATTTTTACAGGTTCAGGCCTTACATTTAAATATTTAATCAATTTTGAGTTGATTCATGTATAAGGGGTGAGATAAGGATTCATTTTGATTTTTCCACATGTGGATATCAAGTTGTCCCAATAATGAGTGTGATGCGCACCATCTGGGGGATGGACACGCTTGAAGCTCTGACTCCAGGGGGTGGTGTGGTGGGGGAGCAGGGGAAGGCAACACATATAACCTAAACATTTGTACCCCCATAATATGGTGAAATAACAAAAATTTTCATTTAACCAAAACTATAAAGCACTAATGATGCAAATGAATAGAAAGATAGCCTATGTTCACAGATTAGAACAAATATTGCTAAATTTCCATACTCCTCAAGTCATCTGTAAATTCAATGCAATCCTTATTAAAATTCCAATGCCATTCTTCACATAAACAGAAAAAAACAATTTTAAAATTTGTATGAAACACAAAAGACCCCAAATAGCCAAAGCCATCTTGACCAAAAAGAACAAAGCTGGAGGTATTACATCAATACATTTCAAAACATAGTACACATCAATACATTTTAAAACTATAGGAATAAAAACAGCATGGTACTGACATAAAAAAAGATCCATTGACCAATGGGATTTATTACTTGTCAGTTTTTTCTTCAGCATGAAGAATTAAAATAGAGACTGATATTTATAAACGTCTAACAGATTTCCCTTACAGCATGTCCTAGACCATGTTTCAAATGAACAGCACTTTGAATGGGGCCCCATCAAAGCCAGAAGTCGTCTGCCTGAGCTGCTACATGGGCAGAGTGAGGACATTGTCTTTCCTGGCATTAAAGAGGTACAGGTTGCGGCCACCCTGGGAAGACCACAACCGAGTTGCTGGACCACTGTGTTTTCTTCTTGCAAGACTCCGACCAAATTCTGGCACGGCTGTTCCCATAATCGCACTAGAGGGTTCGTTATTATCCAGCTACAGCCAGTCACGAAGTCACTTCCTATTAGGGATAATTATCAACACAACCAGAAACTATTGGCTGTCATTTGGTACCCACTGAATATTCCCAAGGGATATTTGCCAAGGTTTTCTTGACACCCTATGGTTTGCAATTTTCTTCAAAAATAGGATTAAAAGACAAATGAGAGTTCCTCTCTAGTCAAGAAAAAGAAAATCGCTCAGTAAAGCTGTTTTCAGACTGGATGCCGGGGGAAGGGCTGGCGTACCTCACTGGCCAAGGGACCTGGTCAGTCTCACCTGTCCAGAAGCACCAGTGACTCCACTTAACATGCATGCGTGGCGCCGGGATGCTTCATGTGCATCCAATGACAACTGTATACAGCAATTAATGCAAAACATACTTAACCTTATGAACTCTCTTCTATTTCACCTCACCGTAAATTGCTAGGATAATATAAAATAAATGAAATTGCAGTTTTATTACAAATAATGATCCTTGTAGGAAATGGATCCTTGTAGGAAATGCCAGTCAAAAATAAGACCAGAGGATTCACATACACTGAGATGGAAACAAAAACTTATTCAAATTGTTGCAAATTTTTTAAATGAAGCTGAGATTGACACGGACAGTCATCGCTCTGCAATTGTGAAGCTGGCATCAGGCACATGTCTCAGTTAATAGATCAATGGTCCCAATGGCGTGTGGTTCCCACGGCTGGACCAGCCCCCTATGGTATCATTCATGGCTGGTCAAATGTAACATATATAAAAGTATTTTGCTGTCATTTTATTCTATAAGAAGAAAGCGAGGTCTGAATTTGAGCCTTCTTTGTCTTAATTTTCCTACAAAGGTAACTTACAGTAAAGGGTATTTTCACCTTATCTTTTATCTGTATTTCTCCAGAGGGTCAGATTAGTTCTGAAGCAGTATCAGCTGTTTGCAGTGAAAATGAGCAACTGGAACACATTATCCTAAAAGAAAGAAATGTTAAACATTTACATGTCATATTATAAAAAAACTGTACCTGGCTGAATTAAATTGAAAAGCAGTTTACCAATAATGGCCTATTATTATACTAATATTTACTTTTAGGCAAAAGTAAAAGTTTTCAAATTTGTTACAAATGTGACTCGATTCTTAACCTATTTGCACTCTTTGTGAGTCTACTTGAGAATGTCAACTTGTCCTTTCCATGCTTCTCATTGTTCCATTTCTGTTTCCTCCACCCAAAAATGTTAAATTGTTTTTAAAGTATAAGTACGATTTTTCATAAATTTATGGGTTTTTTAAATCTAATAAATTTTAAATGACACTTTGATGCAACCTATGGTAAACTCTAAAACAGATTTATGGTATCTAATTATTGTTTTTATTTCAACTCTGGCACTTATACATCTCACCCCCTCAGAAACAGAAAAACAGTAATGAAACATGGCAGTATTTAACATCACAATTAAAAAGACATATTAGAAATTGCAATTATAAAAAAATATTAAGAAATTTTTATTAATTACCACTCTTTTGGATAAGACATTGAGGGTAATCAATGCACTGAAAGGGTTAGCCATTAGATATAAAGTACATTTTAAGTGAGAACATTTATGAGATATAAAAAGAAAGTATTATAAAGTATTAACTGTATTTAGTCAGTGCCACCTGAGCTTGTGCTTTAGTTTCTATACTGATGTCCCTGGTGACATACAGAGTTCATCTAATTTCACTGGACTAGAGGTTTCCTAACAGATAAAAAACCATACCATGCTCATGGGTAGGCAGAATCAACATTGTTAAAATGTTTATACTACCCAAAGTGATCTATAGATTCAATGCAATCCCTATTAAAATACCAACATCATTTTTTGCAGATATAGAAAAAATAATTCTACACTTTGTATGGAACCAGAGAAAACCTCGTATAGCAAAAGCAATCTTAAGCAAAAAGAACAAATTAGTAGGCATCAATTTACCAGATGTCAAGCTATACTACAAGCCTATAGTAACTAAAACAGCATGGTACTGGCACAAGAATAGAGACATAGACCAATGGAACAGAAATGAGAACCCAGATATAAAATCATCCACATATAGCCATCTAATCTTTGACAAAGCAGATAAAAACATCACTGGGGAAAAGAATCCCTATTCAATAAATGGTCCTGGGAAAATTGAATAGTCACATGTAGAATTCTGAAACAGGATCTGCACCTTTCACTTCTCACAAAAATCAACTCACAGTGGATAAAAGACTAAACCTAAGGCATGAAACTGTAAGCATGTTGGCATGGATGTGGAGAGATAGGAACACTCACACTGGTGGTGGGACTGCAAACTAGTACAACCTTTGTGGAAAGCAATATGGAGATATCTCAAAGAGCTAAAGGTAGATCTACCATTTGATCCAGCAATCCCATTACTGGGCATCTACTCAAAGGAACAAAAGACATTCTATTAAAAAAAGAAATCTGCATTAGAATGTTTATACCAGCACAATTCATAATTGCAAAGATGTGGAAACAACCTAAGTGCCCATCAGTACAGGAATCAATTAATGTGGTATATGTAGACCATGGCGTTTTACTCAGCCACACACAAAAAATGGTGATCTAGCACTTCTTGTATTGTCCTGGATAGAGCTGGAGCCCATTCTACTAAGTGAAGTATCCCAAGAATGGAAAAACAAGCACCACCTGTACTCACCATCAAATAGGTATCAACTGACCAACACTTAAGTGAACATATAGTAGTAACGTTCATTGGGTGTCAGGCAGATGGGAGGGGGGAGGGAGGAGATGGGTCTATTCAAATCTAATGAGTGTGGTGTGCACCGTCTGGGGGATGGTCATGCTTGAAGCTCTGATTCAGGCGGGGCAAAGAAAATATATGTAACATAAACATTTGTACCCTAGTAAAATAAAAAAAAAAAAGAAAAGAAAAAGAAAGGAAGGGGAAAAATAAATAAAAGTAAAATAAAATATTTTAATTTTTTTGTCCCAAACTGATGTAGAAGATAAATATTTGTTTAAAGTAATAACAGTGGATTGGGCCATTAAGACCACATGAATAGGTGAAATAAAAGAGAGCAATAATATAAAAAGTAGCCAGGAGAAATTGAAACTGTTTCGTTATGAGATAGCTGCATTACATACATACGAAGTGTTACAGTGTCATTTGAAGGTGGACTTATATTTAGGTAAAAGTGTTTGTTGTAAAATTCAGGGAAAGCACCAAAAATTTTTTTAAAAGAAGTGCTGTTAACATTGTATGAAGAAATAAAATTTAATCATGTAAAATGTTCAATAAAAACAAGACATGACAAAAAAGAGTGAACAAAATGAATTAAGAATAAGAACCTTGCATGCTACTATGTGCACTCTAGAAAAACCACGGAGGACCAGTTCAGTTTGGTTACAAGATTCTTTATTTTGTAAACTATACATACACAGTAAAAAAGAAAATGCATTATACTTGTAGTATCACGTAAGGTGAACATTAAAGTTTTTATTTAGTGTGTACAAATTAAATGGAAAGAACGTTTGCTCTCAATGAATTGTATACCAGGAAACCAGCTGACCCACTATTGAAATTAAAGATGCCAACGTGTAACACCCAACAGGTTTTTCCATTTTTATTATGGCCACAAAACCATCGGTCTGATATACTGAAAAGTGACAGTGTGCCAAAGTGTATACACAAGTAATTAACATGCTAACTTAAATACAGGGATTAAAGTAATCTTTGCTACAGTTAAACTGTAAATGCTACTCTACACAATAATCATAAACAAGTCCACATGGCAATTATGTAACAATAAAAAAAGAAAGAAACATATTCCATGTTCTCCATTCCAGCAGCAATACCTTTACTGATATTAACTTGTTAATTAGGTGTGCTTATATAATTGTCTAGTATCCTATATTGGTGTGCATGCTAAAACCTCTCTATTTCTACTTTTGCAAGGCACCATACAATACGATCTCTTAAGTTTCAGCACTACTAATAAAAATGGCATAATGCTAAGATTAAATGCAAATTTTAATCTAAAATGGGAAATAAAATGAGAATTAAGATTTGAGAATTTGACCTTGGGGCAAATGACACACTTTTTGTGAAAATATAGTTTAAACAAATTCTCTTTATCTTCCTAATTTAAATTTTTTACCCTAAGTTGCTGGTCAGAAAGATAAAAAAAAATCTTAAAGAAATCATGCTGTTGAAGAATATTAAAAACATCTACATGAGACTTCCATCAAAATTAAAATACGTATTAGAAAGGAAAACTAAATTTTTAGCTTTCAGAATCCATGGTTTTCCATCCTTGCCATTTTGAAAAATATCCTCTCATATCCTTAATAATTTCATGATTGGAAACACCGGTATTAATGTGAACACAGTGGAGGAAACTGCAGTTGTCACTTTGCTTTTCTTAACATGTGGTGTCTCTCAGTTACCCTGACTCGCTCTGCGTTTGTGAGGATGCTACTCTGGAGATGCAATTAGGGTCATGCATGATTTTACAAAATCGTGGGGCCAAGGTCACTAACGAGTTATTGTAAATATAACTTAGACTATCTCTCGTGAAAAATAACACACACCATCCCAAGCGCTGGCTGTCATTTTGTTTGTGTGAGCTTTACAAAGTTTTTGCTACGAAAAATTTATTGTAGTAGATCTTCAGAACAGTTCTCTCGTCTGGCTAGACTCCGTTACGTGTTTTCTTTTTCTGTAAGGCATATAAAAACTCAAAGCAAACGATTCTTATTTAAACATAAAGTTCTACAACTTCAGCTTCAATATCTGCAATAATTATACAAAATATATGTGGGGTTTAGAATCACTTTGTTTTGGGGACAAGAAGGTAACTCTTAACAGGCTATATATCTCTTTGCAAATACTAGAAATGTAGCGTTTATGGATCTCATCTGCCGTTAGTCAGATGTACCCATCGTGGTCATCTCCGCCATCATCATCATCCCCTTCGTCTTCATCATCATCTTCAATTTCATCCTCGTCGTTCACAAGAGCGCCTTCAGCACCCTCATCATCCGCCCACTCGTGGAAATCTCCACTCGCAAAGTCTCCAGAGATCTCAAAATCGACAGCTTAGAAAAAAAGCAGACATTACCTTTATTTGACAGAGTAGTGGGACAATTTCTGAGACAGGCAAAATTCTGATGGAAATCAACAAAAAGTTAATTTGTTCTTCAGCTTATTTAACAAAGACAAGGAGCTATCTGTTCTCTGGGAAACTTTCATATGTTAAGACACTGCCATATTTTAAAATGTACGCGCCCAAAGTGGAATCACGTTACTGAGGAATGCTACAGAAGTTCTTCAGTCCAATGACAGTGATTTATAGTTTCTATAGAAGTTCACGTCGGACTTTAAATCTTACAAAGTATTTGAAATTTCTTCTACCAGTGTGGTGGGCAGAGCGATTTTCTCCCCAGATGTTCCTATCCGAGTTAACAGAAGCTGCCGCTATGTTGCTTCACACACACAGAAGGGGCTTTGCAATGGAACTAGGGCAAGGACTCAAGCTGGAGGGACTGCCCGGGTGGATCCGAATTGTCCCTTGGTCCCTAAAATCAAAGAGCATTTCCCAGGCAGGGTCAGAGGCAGACACACCCGAGAAGAATGGCCGGAGAGGCGACCTCGTTCATTTGGACTTTGGAGGACCCTGAGCCAAGGCCGGCACAGAAGGCAAGACACAGACTCCTCTCTACAGCCGCCTCCGGGAAGAAACTGCCCTGCTGCCACGGTGGTGTTTAGCTGGTGACACCCCTGTTCACCTTCTGACGAGCAGAACCGTGAGATGATGCATTGGCGTTGTTTAAGCCCTCGAGTGGGCATCTGTTACTACAGCGGCAGACAGCTTAATAATACAGCTACTCAGCATTTAAAAAAAAAATTTTTAAATTGTTAAAATAGCTATTCCCATCCACTGAGGCAAGAATGCACGTATGTATGTCTCAGGGTGTGCCGACTTTCATCTCCTCAAATGCTAGTTGCTGTTCTGCTCTTTCTGGTATCTTAGTCTATAACTCTTTGGTGGTTGTGATCCATCCTATTAATGTAATCGGATGTTTATACGTTAGCTGATCTCACAACGCCACACGGCGAAACTCCCATCTTGTGTTAAGAAATGGTGTTTCTATTCTCCAACTTCATATATTTTCTTAATTGCAACATGCTAAGAAAACTCAGAAGTTCATGTTTCCAGAATAATTTATGGTTCACTTGTTGAACTTATTTCCATATGATTTTCATTTACAACATAAAAAATAAAGTTCCTTATTCGTCACTGACATCACTGATAACTGAAGTAATCAGTGCTGCAACTACATATTACAAAGACACGCTTACACTGCATTTAAACTGCATCCTGCAAAGACATGTCCACTACTGCTTCCTACTGAAGACTAGTCATGTCGGGTCAGAAAACCCAAACCAAGCTATTAAAAATGTTTCGGAATAAACGAAGCAGAGCAGGAATTTAAGGATTAAATGAGATCACTTTTTATTCTGTACTATTTCTCTTTTCCTAAATAATTTTAGTTTATCATCCTAAAAACTGCATGAAGGAGATATCTAAACATTTTCTAAAATGAAGGACTAAATACTTTATTTTCATTTGTGATCGTTTTTTATATTAGTTGAAATGCAACCCATAAACTCCTGGTGTGTGTGTTGGGGGGTGGTATATGTAAAGCTAAGTGGATTCTGTTGTGAAACCCTCCACAGCACAGACAAAAACACTGGTCTGAAGCTTGCGTTCTGGAAAAATATTTTGTGAAGCACAAAAGATACCACTTTTAAAACTTTAAAATGCATGTACGTGATGCTCAGCTCATTACATTATGTTTTAGGTTTATAGATGAAATTCATGTTCATAAGAAAAAATTAGAATATTAGTTATAATTATCCTTTAGATAATTAAAACCACATTTTTTCCCCTCACCCAAACATAAGGAAACATGCTCGTTTAGCTGCCACTTATGGAACTTTACTTTAAAAAGTTTCATTCTTCTTTAGCGGGTGACACTTCCCATTCCCAAGTCCCCCTCTCCGGGGGCGTGCAGACGAACGCGCCTTTGGGACGGGACGTGCCCTGGGGTTCGCTGACTGGGGTGGCAAGAATGGAAAAGGCCTCTCTGCCCTGAGGGGGAAAGAACTGTCTAACAGCGTTCTGAATGTGAAGTAGGAGAGGAGCCCAGCGTTTAATCGTCGGCCCTGAAACACAGCAATCGTGCAATAACTCCGTTTGTCGTCTCTACACGCTGCAACACGCTAAAGCACGTCTGCTCACCAGCCCCTGCACGCTGGGCGACCTGCCGTCCCTGCACAGGGCAGGTGCTTGCTGAGCGCCCGAACGACCAAGGGCGCTGGGAAGCCCGCCCGCCGCGCTTGGCGCTGCCCAGCGGCTCCGCTTACCGCAGTCGGCCACGCCGTCTCTCCTGGACCCCACGACTTCGTTCCCGAACCTGTCCACGCACCAGCACTGCCCGGCGCTGCTGTGGCACTGCGTCGGCTTGTAGTAGCCGTCGGCGTCACACAGGGGGACGTACTGTCCTGTGGGACACACACAGACACGCGTCACACACACATGTCCACCAGCGAGCCATGCTTGTGCCTTTTCTGCCAGGCACCTGCTGCGCGCCGCCAGGGAGCTTGAGACTCCCGCACGCCGGCGCCTGTGCTGTCCAGGCCTGAGCCGGCGGGAAACAGACCAGGGCGCGCCCGCCACTGAGCTGGCCACCGAGAGACAAAGCGTGCGCTCCACGGCTCCACGGCTCCACGGCCCATCTCTCCTGCTGAGCAGGTTGCTGGCCCCGCGCCTTGCTCTGGAGAGGGAGTGCTGGCACAGGCACAGCAGGGACCGAGACCCGGAGGGAGTGCTGGCACAGGCACAGCAGGGACCCAGACCCGGAGGGGGTGCTGGCACAGGCACAGCAGGGACCCAGACCCGGAGGGGGTGCTGGCACAGGCACAGTAGGGACCGAGACCCCACCAGCGCTGGGCCCTGTCGGGTCAGGCCGTCCAGACCCCTTGCAGGGCGTGCGGGGCCTCGCCAGCGCGTCATGGCCAACTTGCCACTCTCGTTCCCCAGATTCTCCTTTCGACACTGCACGCCCTTCCACATGGGCCTGTCCTCCCCAGATCCAAGGCTGCTTCCTCTCCACACGGCGTCTCCACTACAACCCTCTCCTGGCCCCGCTCTTCACTTCAGGACTTAGACATGGTCCCAACAGACAGCCGCGTGTGCGTGTGTGCATGTGTGTGCGCATGTATGTGCATGTGTGTGCGCATGTGTGCGCACGTGTGTGTGCGTGCATGCGTGTGCATGTGTGTGCGCATGTGTGTGTGTGCCTGTGTGTGCGTGTAGTGAGTGCCCTTGCACACTTTCACTACGATTTCACTGTGCTTTCCTCAATGTTTAGAAATATTTACTTCCTCTTTATTTTTGTTGTTGTATAAACAACATCTCTTAAACCCAGCGGCAATACCGGAAGGCAGACACACTTCCCTATCTACAGTAACTAGCATACTGCCTGGCACACTGCTGTGGAAAATGCCTAATCAGTAATTGAAAAGTGAAGCCGCACCCTTCACCAAACACTACAACACTACAATGTAAGCTCTGGGAGAGCAGAAAATTTTGTTTTCTTTTTTGACCATTTTTTTTTTCTGTGACCGGAAGCATTATAGTTATTTGGTGAAATAAAATAAATGAACAAATGGATAAAATATGAAACTCATTCAGCCTTGCGACCCTGAGATCATAATTTTACTCTCTCAAAAAGTTTAAATTTTTTATATAGAGATGATTCAGTTTAAAAATTATCATTCCTTTGAAAACTCTGAACAGCTGCTGTTTCAGTGAAGCAGATAGACTATGGCCAATATTGAAACCTTGAGAATAGCTTCTACAGATTTAAGGCCAGCAGAAATGGGGAAAAATTCAACTTTTGCTATTTCTACATCTTCAAAAACTGCCATGATTTGACTTACTTGACATAAAAATGTTATGATGTGTGGTTAGAGTGACCGTATTAATTTCTCCTTTATGTCAGTATACTTTAAAGAAAAAGAGAACACCATGAAAAATTATTCTAGAACTGCACACATCAACCAAGACTTAATTTGCAAATGGAACCTGTGGACCCTACTTCTACATAACTACTGATGGACTTTCAGAAGCACACCACTATCCCACCAAATTAGAAGAAATGTTTACGGCAGTTAGTGCTCTCTAACGATGACTTCCATTCATGTTAGGAAAGCAGGATGAAGTGACTCCTTCTCAATGGGTGCTACGCGAGTTTTTTGGTTTTGGTAGTTTCAGATCATCAAAGCCTGCATTCTAGTAGATTTCTGTTACTGATAGACTTTGATCAAGTGTAAAATACTTCTCAAGTCAGTTCAAATGGCTTTTCCCATTTTACATGGCCAAACTTTGATTTGCTGAGTCAAACTTACGTAAGAGCATATTATTTCTACTTGTCAGCTGTGATGTCTCATGCATTTTTTAACAGAGTTAAAATAGACATGACACATTGTAGCATTTGTCATCAGTAATTTTTCATACCTAAAAATGTCTTATTACAAGTGATTATGCTTTTTATCTTGTACAATGGTCACTGGACTAAGGACTCTCAAATAGTAGGAAAAATATTCTCATCTAAACATACTATATTCTAATTTCAAAAAGAAAATATATCAAAATACAATACAGATTGATCAGATCCAGAGACATTATAGAGTTACCTGCCACTAAATACACAGGAGTGTTAACATACATGAAGGACAACATTGCATGTGTGCTGTCCTGCTTTAGTCCCTAATGTACACACCAATCTCCAAACTGGTGACATTCAAATACAATCTAGAGCATTTTGAACATGTGAGATGTTACTTATTGGGGAAGCGGGGTGAAGAATGTATGGAAACTATGTGTTATCTTGGTAATAGTTTTTATACATTTAAAATTATTCTAAAAAAAGTTAAAAAACTGTATGTTTATAAGAACAAACGCTAATTTTATGTAATAGTTGAATAATCTGTTGATAGGCAAACATCCAAATATTTCGAGGTTTGGGTGAAATTTGAAATATCTCTATCTACCTACCTAGTCATACAATTTGCTTACGGAGAGTAAGGCAGTAAAACATACTCGTGAAAAACATTTACAAGTCTGCTCAAATTTCCCTGAGATCGTCACAGCATTTTTAACCCAATTTATATAAGTGCTTGCCTTAAACAGCATGTATATTTTAATACACACAAACATATAAATACATTTGCCATCAATTTTTAAATTGTTAGCCATAGAATTGGAATTGAATTTTCTGTTTTCACTTCAGCGTTGCTCAAATCTCCTTTTTCACTTAATAACTTTCAAAATGAACATTATATGAGGGTAATAAAACATGCATAATATCTTTCAATAGGTAAGGTAATAAAAGTAAGTTTAATGGCTTTCGAAAAGCTCATGAACTTTGCTGCTGACATGCAGTGCCGTGTGTCTCTGCGGGATCCATACTGACTCTACGTGGCCGAGTCCCTGAGGTCGGCGCGAGCAGCCAGGCCGGGCCGCGCTCTGTTACTCACCCGGGAGCTTCCTCGAGCCCTGCCGCCTCCGGACGCCGCTGAGCTCCGTGTGGCAAGGCGGGTCTGGAGAACAGACAGGTGTTACTCCCGGGTTAGACAAAGAAAGCACAATTTCTCTATCATCACATCTCTACATGCCCTTAGAAGACACACGGTGCACATTAGTCTACGCGTGAAGACGCATTCACACAGATGCGCCTATTTAGCGTGCATACAGAAACGTAGGCGATTAAGTAGGAAATGCCCGATTTCCCTAAGTGCTAAGTTTGACAGTTGATCTCTCTGACATTTCACTTTGACACGTCTCGTTTTATTTCTGTTGTGAAGGTACATCCTCCATCTTTCAAACACACAGTTTGGCTTGTGATTATTGTGATTATCTTTTACGGTTTTTTTTTTTTTTTTCCAGAACGACTTTTGTGAAGCCATGGATAAGTCAAAAATTTGTATTATTTTTGAATGTGAGTTCCATTGTGGAACCCATGCAGCGCGGACAGCTTGAAACATCGAGGACGTGTTTGGGACGGATGTGGCTAATGAATGCACAGTTCATCCATGATTTGAGAAGTTCGGTTCTGGTGATTTTAATCTTGAAGACGGGCCACGTGGGTGGGTGACCTGAGACCAAGATGGATCACGATGAGCTGAAAGCTGTCATGGAAGTGAATCCATCTCAACTTACGTGTGAATTAGCAGCAGGTCTGGCGTTGCCATTCCAACAATATGAGACCATTTGAAACAAATGAGTAAGGTGAAGAGGCTGGATAGGTGGCCACTGCATGAATTAAAGGAGTGCCAAGAGAAATCACCTCAAAGCCTGCCTTTGTTTGCTGTCACGGCATAAGGGTGCACCATTTCTACACAGTATTGTTACATGTGATTAAAAATTGATTCTTTTTGACAATGGCAAGCATTCAGCACAACGGTTGGATAAAGATGAAGTGTCAAAACACAGTACAAAACCAAATATTCGTCAGAAAAAGCTACTGGTATCTCTTGGGTGGTCCAGCGTTGCCACTATCCACTACAGCTTCATGGAACCTGGTCAGTCGATTACAGCGGACGTCTGCTGCAACCAGTTGGATGAAATGACGAGGGTGCTTGTGATTAGGCAGCTGAGACTGGGCACTAGAGACAGGACAATCCGCTTACAAGACAAGGCTCGACCACGCTCCTCACAGACAACGCTGCCCAAACTGCAGAGGCTGGACTTGGAAACCCTCTGTCGTCCACTGTGTTCACCAGACCTTGCACCAACTGACTACCACTTCTTCCAGGCTTTGGACCACTGCTTGCAGGGGAAAATACTCAATTCTCAACAAGCTGTGGGCAATGCCTCGCGTGATATAATCACCACTTGCTCTCCAGGCTTCTTTACCGTTATGATGGCAGAACTGTGTCGACGGCTTGGGTGCACACTTTGATTAATTGTACTGCTTCTTGTTTGAGATAGAATAAACTATACTTTTGATTAGAAATCAGACATTTCATATTTAATGGCCTCTATAGAGAGAGAGAAAATGAAGAGAGAACACACAGTGCTTTCCTAATTATTAATATTAATAGACCATCTTGGTTTTCCTCAGAATGATTGAAGTGGATAAAAATACTTGCATGATTGAAAATAGTTCTTACCATTTACTTAAAAAAGGTCAGTTCAGCAATGTAAATCCGGTTGCTGCTCAAGCAGCTGATCATGCTCCTCCCTCATTTAAAAGTTTCTGATGCAGAGAAATGCTCTGCATTCCAGAAGTAAACTCTGAAGAAGTTAATGCTTCTTTCAAGTGATGTCAGCAGTCCCATCATAAATTATAATAGCGTATAATGTTAACATACCTTCCTCCTCTTAGTTTCACCCATATATTCAATGTAGAAACAAGACATAACATCCAATGATTTCTGAGATACCATTATTTTAAAAATAAACTTAAAACATTTAAACCAAATTGGAGATAAGTCTCTGCCTATTTTTCAATTCAGTCACTAAAAGGAGGACATTTGTAGAGCAACGTAAAATTCTAAATAGCTGCAATATAATTAGCCTTGTATTATCACTATTGTAGGTCCAGTTGGCCCCCCATATCTGGAACTCCTGCATTCACAGGTTTGAATAGCTGCTAATCAAAAATATTCAAAAAATAAAAATAAATTACAACAACAGAACAAAAAATAATACAAATAAAAATACACTATAATCATTTACACTGCATTTATATTGCATTAGGTATTTTAGATAATGTAGAGATGATTTAAAGTTCACAGGACGTTCACAGGTTATTGGCAAATACTACTTCATTTCATATAATAAACCGGAGCAGCCACTGGTTTTGGTATCCGTGTGTGGTCCTGGGACCAATTCTCCTTGGATACCCAAGAGACGGCTCATCTGACAGCAGTTTACTGCATTTCATAGTCATACTCTAGAAACTTGTTGTTAATTCTTGCTACATAAAACCTGCATCATAAACCGTTAAATCAGTAAAATAATAAACTAGCTCCTGTTGCCCTGCAGGACATCTTTCTTGGAGAAAAGGCAACGTATTATTAATTCAAACAATTCTGAAATTGTTTAGTGTTACTGACCACAAAATATTCAATCCTTAAATCGCAGGTTAAGTAAACAAGTGTAATAAAGTAATGAGATAAGGTGCTTAATATACATTTTATATTAATAGTTTATGTGCAAGACCAAAAATGTTTCCTCTTGCAGAATCTGACATGTGAAGCAAAGGTAATTTGTTTGAAAATCCTGAATAACTACCTTATGGTAACTCCACTTTGAAAGTGATCTAACTGACTCCTTTGTTTTTCTTGGATAATCTCATGACTCGAGTTAAAGGAACAGGAATCCAGTTGCACTGTACGGTCCTGAGGAATAGACATTTTAAATTTTACTATGATCCAAATGTGACATCTTAGAGCCAAGAAGAAAGACTGCAGCTGAAGTTTCAGTATTATCTTCTAGTTGCTATGGGCAATGTATAGTGGAGTAGAAGTAGCATTTTCTTATGTGTTTGCTACCTGAACATCCGGGTACGTTTGAGTCTGTATCTGAAAGTCCAGGTACGTCTGAGTCTGACTCTGATTAGTGACCCCATTGGATAAGCCGACTCCCAGGGCCACAAGCTCTGGGTAAGGGAACATTTTAGAATTTCAAGAGAAATCATGACCAATTAGGAACTACATATCACATTTGATTTTTAAACTATTTTTAAGTGATTTATAAGCCAGTTCTGTAAGTCTGGCCTTTAACTGGGCTTACTTGGAGCACTTAGTTGAAATTTCACCCATCATTTACACCCACTTGCAAAGGACTGGTCTAGATGAAAGCATGGTAACCCAGCTAATTGCATTAAGGTCTGGACTCAGAGTACGGATATTTAGCGTACGGTAGAGGCGCAGATTTGTATCTCAAGATTTATTTCCCCTAATGTGTTTATTACCAAATAGTGTTTTTAAGTTTATGGGAAATTCTGATTTTATTTTGCTTAAGAATTGCATGAGAATCGCCGGGCGCGGTGGCTCACGCCTGTAATCTAGCTCTCTGGGAGGCCGAGGCGGGTGGATTGCTCGAGGTCAGGAGTTCGAAACCAGCCTGAGCAAGAGCGAGACCCCGTCTCTATTATAAATAGAAAGAAATTAATTGGCCAACTAATATATATATACAAAAAATTAGCCGGGCATGGTGGCGAATGCCTGTAGTCCCAGCTACTTGGGAGGCTGAGGCAGGAGGATTGCTTGAGCCAGGAGTTTGAGGTTGCTGTGAGCTAGACTGACGCCACGGCACTCACTCTAGCCTGGGCAATAAAGTGAGACTCTGTCTCAAAAAAAAAAAAAAAAAAAAAGAATAAATCAATAAAAATGTAAGATTTAATTTAATCACTAGTAAATTAATTATTTTAAGCTAATAACAAGCAAAAAAGAGGAATGAAAATTACAGGCTAAATTTCAAGATTTTTTGAAAATAACATTTTTCTGTATTCTGTATTTTAAAAGACAAATTCCTACACTAGAGTCATTCACACATTATCTCTATTAGGAATTGATAAATTTTTATACAGCCATACTAATGAATTTTTATTTACTCATGCAATTTTGAACTGAATAAAATGTCACTGGGACAGAAATAAGAAATATCTGTATGTTTACAATAGTTACTAAAAAACAAAAGTATTTTTTATAGTTTCAAGTAGTCGTTTCTAAGAAATATATTTTTATTAGCTGTCAAATGTATATGGACAATTTATAATCCAATTGGAAAAGAAAGTGGGCATTATGGAGGTTTGTGAGTGAATCTGTAGGTCGGCAGCGTACAGGTGCACAGGTTGTGTACTGCACAACTCTGAGGGCTACTATTGCCCCGCACTAAAACATGAATTACGCCTGGAGCTTTATAGCAAAGCAGCTTCTAACTTCTGTCCAACTGAGCCACCATCCTTATTCACTTTTCTTCTTAATATTGGATGGGTCATATAGCCTCTCACAGAGTGGATATACTTGAAAAACTTTATTAGGTTTATTTCAAATAATATTAGAAGTTTCATATATCCACAATACCAAATTCTCTGTGTTTAATATCTTTCCTTTAATAGGAAAAACACTTATTTCAAAATTAATTAATCCCCCATGACCCACGCTTCGATATTGCTTCTGTAGATCAAATGCATAAAAAGCTCTTAAAATGCCATGAATCTGCATCGCGTTTCTGAGCACAAACACTGGACGGATGCTGAGGGAAACAGGGCTTGCCGACGTCGCCTGCACTGACTGCCACTCCCCAACAAGTGCACGGGGAGGTCTCCGTGGCCTTTTATATACTATCACTTTCCCAACTCTGAAAACAGAATTAAAACCACCTGGAGACAGAAATCAGGGACTCGTATCTCGAGTCCCTGTCCCCCCACGTGCTCGCTCTGAAACCAGAAGTTTTTGAGATCAGCAAGTTTTAGTCCTTCAGAGTAAGAGGGGACAAGGTGGCTTCCACAGGGCACTGGAGTGACGATGGTCCATGCGCACAACAGACTAGATGCAGCTGAATGAATGCTACTTTTCTCTCTTTCCTTGATCTTATACAACAGGATTTTTAACAAAACAGCATCTAATGTAATAATTGATTTGCTTTTTTTTTAAGTGGAGGCTTAGACATACTTTTATTAATATACATTCTTAACACTTAAGGCAACTAAAATCCCAAATTAGTAACCCTCCAACTTGCTCTTTCAGGATCACTGAAAGAATTGTACAAATTACAATCATGTCCCTTTTGTACTGCTTAATTGGCATGAGTTCATGAAATTAGCCATGGAAACAAATTTGCAAATTTGGTTCTTTATTTTAGGTTAAATCACTTTTTCCCTCTGAAACATTTGAAAAAGCCTATAACTTAACAGTTACACTTTTTCATGAAATTAGTGATTGGCCTAAAAGAATCCGTAAGAACAAAGCACTGCGATCTCACCAGCCCTCTCTGTCACCCTGGCAGATTTTGTATCTTTTCTACCATATTAAATTAATAAAGGGTCGGCTAAGAGTTGGGCCAAACTCTCCTGAGCTTTAGAGAAGTTGTGGAAACTCTTATCAACTTGGGTACCGTGTATTAAATTATTTCTTCCATGTACTACATGATCTCAGAGAGTAAACCTTCAAAGGTTACATAAGCTTTAACACTTTGGGAGAAAACTGCTTTATACTGCTTTATAGTTTAAGGTGCCGTGTTCATTCTCTTAGCTGTCAAAGATTTTGAGAAAAGCATCGACTGTAGCAGGCATTACCACATTAACCTGATTCCTAGTTTTTTGTCTAGATTAGCATGAAAATTATACTTTGCACTGTTTACCTAGATTCCTGAAACTTTATTACACTAGGAGATTTGGGGCTCTGCTTCCGTGCACACACTCAGTACAAGGACCATCCGACGGATTCTGTGAGCGTGGTTCCGACGTTGCGTTGCGTCTGCGTTTCCCAACGCAGAAGGCTGGGCAAAGACCTAGCACCCTTCCCACTCTTCACTCTCCCAGAGGACCACGACACCTTTTCTGCTAGTGAATTTCTAAAAGGCCAGGCCACTTTGAAAACTTTCAAAGACTAAGCCATTTTAAAATCAAATGAGTAAAAATAACTTTGTGGTGAATGCCCTGGTTCATTCAGCTCATTTAATAAGATCACAAAATAGAACATTAAAAGTCCACAGTCTAGTGATAAAAAAAATCCATTTATTTTATACCGTGGGCAAAGCAGATAGCAAATTAATTTTAATGATTACTTTTAATATCTATGTTCTTGCATCTCTGTGTGCTTCTTGGTGGTTAATAATGGAAGCTATAATGAAGTGCATTAATATGAAATATTAATTACCATGTTTCATCTTATTTAGCATGTTGTGCATCTCTGGTAGAGTTATTGTGTTCAACACACTGCTTACTTGCTCTGTTATGAAACACTGGAATTAGAAAAAAACTACTGAAGTGAGTGGGGCATAGAGTACTTTTTTTTTTTTTCTTAATCCTGCAGGAACAGACGTTGTGAAACGTGACAACCAGGCCGCCCGTGCGTCCCCAGGCGTCCGGTCTTACCTTGCTGCCTCTGGAAGCAGTAGCACCACTCGTTGTTGGAGATGAGGCTGTCCCGGTACGTGTCGCAGGAGTTGAAGAAGGCCCTGGTGCACTGCTCGTTCTTGTCCAGGTAGATGCTGCCCAGCTCCGACTGGTCCAGCAGCAGGTCGTAGTTTGTGTCGAGTCTGTTAAACATCCAGCCAAGCGAGTCCTTGCAGATTGGCAAGATGCTGGTATCGAACCCTAAAGTCAGAAAACGGTTAAGTGAAATAAGAAAGATGTCGTACGCAGAAAGCAAAAAAAGCCAGCGTGGCAGGCAGTGGCACAAGGCACCCGCTGATTAGTCAGAGACGCAGGCTTCAGGTCCACCTTGAGTAAATTGTTTCAAAGCAAAGTGGATACACTGATATCTGCCTTTCAGAGTAGTTACGGGAATTAATTAGGTAAAAAGTATCTGGTACTAATTAGCCCTTCATTCAGTGGCAGTTACTATTGTAATCATGCATTATTTCTTTTCTTTTATTGTTTGTTCAAGCTTCTTCTGAGGAAACAGTGTATCATGATATATGTCTTATTAGACGTATGTAAATATTTTTAAAGAATAATATCCTATTAATGAAAAAACTAAAATTAATTTTCATTCCAGGAAATGAAAGTATCATTTTAGCAAGAGCATAGTTAACACTCAGTGATAACTTTAATAATGCCCTGTATCTTGGTAGAACTATGGTGACTGTGATATTTCACATGAACCTGATGATCACAGAAAGAAAAACTGTCGTGATTTACAGAGCTACTGTGTCTTCCACTCCACTCAAGGCAATTTTTACAAGCGCACGTGTGTTACGTTGGGAGGCAGGGTGCCCTGGACGGAGGGGTATAGAGAGGTGTATCCAAGCCACGTACTGTCAAAGACGGTTTGTTTACCCAGGTAAGCTACCAAACTCGGTAAGGCTCACCCTTAATAGCATCAGATGCAAGATCAGTGTTTTGTATGATTTAAAAATATTTGCTTTCAACAGTTTTTACTTTTCAGGTTTCAGCAGGCTTTAAATGTTTTAGCCAGCGTAGTTTTCATCTTATTTCCTATTTTCCACTCATTACGAGTTAAAGTAAACTATTAACTCAGTTAACTAGCATAGAAGACAGGATGTGTTTGAAGACATGGAGACTTCTGAACACTGAGTACCCAAAGGATTTAATCTTTGGCAGCAGGGTTAGGAGAGCCGTTTAAATGTTTATGAGTGGAATTCTCTCTCACATGTAGCAACTAATTTTATGTTGAGAATAATCATGAGAATTAATTAATTTCTAGAAAGCTTCTGGCACCAATCTAGTTACACAAAATCTATTTTGATAGTTTTAGTTTGTGATACTGTGAGTTATCAAAATACTTGCAAATAAAGATATGGATACTGAGGATTAAAAAGTAAATAGGGACAGACTCTAGGAGATTTGGGGGCTTGGGAAATTTATAATTTCACTACCTGTTGGAATTTGTTTTATTATAATAATTTATTCAGAACATATTTAGCACTTTATATCTGTGCTTCACCATAGTTGACAACGGGGATAAAAAAGTGTGACAATGTGACATTATCATACAAATATAGAGAAAGAATTTTAGGGATTTTTTTCCTGGCCTGTATTTTCTTTGTAAAATTATAAATTTTTCGTAAATCTTTGTAACACTATAAAATTCTCTGTTTTGTCTTATTTTCTGTAGATAGCTTTTCTTAACCTCTTTGATGTTGTCTTCTTTCCTGACAGTTCAGATTACGGGTTAAAACTGGTTCAACATTCTATATAATAATATAGCTTTATTTTGAAATCAAGGTATTCACTTATTGAAAACAGAATGTAATAAAAATGGAAACATTTCACTCGCTCAGTGAGAAAAGCAACCTACTTGTTCATGATTCCAAAATTGTCAACGATAATATTCTCATTGTTTAGAATAATATAGTTCCTAAAGAATAGAGCAACTGTAACCAAAACTACTAACCAAACCATAGTTCCTAAAGAAAGAAGCCAACCAAAGTTTGGTACCTAGCGGATCCAACTGAGTAACTACCCAGGATGCAATAATGTAATGAACAATTTCATTACAGCACATCATTCACTCTACATTTATTTTACAGTTATACTTTTAATCTACATAGGATTAATCCTTCAAAATATAAAATATGTAATTTCTGAAAAATCAAAATATCTAAATCTTAAGATAATACCTTCATAAGACTAATGTGTATAATTACATTTTATTACACAGAATTATAAAATAAAAGAAGAAAATGCCAGATGTCTCAATAATTAGAACCAAATAGGCAATAATCTGGATGTTTTGTTTTATTACTTGAAATGAGAAAAGAAAATTTATCTACTCTTTCTAAATCTTTTGTTTTCAAAACACAGAGTCCCTGGCATACCTAGGAGGCTCCTAATTGCATTAAAATGGGGCATTGTTTTGAGCCCTCTGATTCCACATTCAATCTTCCTCTGGATGTGAAGACAGCAGGACACAAAGTGAGCAATATCTTGGTAGGAAATTGGAATGTATCCACTTACCCTGGAGGTTTAAGTAATTCTATCACTTTCTCTGAGTGAGGAGAACATTTGGTGTGAAGCAAAAAATAAAACATTATTTTAATCTGAGTCAGACCGTTAATCTGAAGATTTCTCGAATGTCCTAACACCTCTCAAGTTGATGAAGGGAAGATCAATATACTATCACTTCCAAAGAAGTACATATTCTCAATTACAACTATATTTTTTAAAAGCCTGGCTGGGTATAGTATTTCTGTTATGTGATTTTTGAAGATTTAAATAAGTCAAAATCAACGTATATAGATTATAATAGGAACAACAGGTACTTACTGAAAAAAGTATCAAGCCAGTATTTTCATGGTAATGATAATAGATCAGAGGCTAAATAGCTCCTTTTCCTTCAACTTCTTACTATAAAACACACTTTAAGATTTTTGCCGTCTTGCTTGCTTTTCTATGGCTGTTAATTTACTTTTCAATGGTAGCTCTAAAATATATCCAAATGGATTACATTCAAGAAGCCCGATTTTTTTTGGTAACAGTAGACTTAAGTTGTTAAAAAAAATAATGGCAGACTTTATCAACTTGCTTGATTTCTTCAGAATCTATGACATTCTTGACCATTTTTTTTGTCAAATCATTTAACTATGAAATATTTACACTATCCAAGATGCAAATAAAAATCAGTTCTTCTTGAGTAATGACTGTCCAATTCTTTACATAAAAGATTGTGATAAAAATTAGTTGATTAAAATCTCAGGCTAATATCATATTGTGTTTGAGAGTTGAGAATAATGACTAAAATAACTAGTAGGAAAAGACCCTACTATTTTCACCACGTTCTAAAGTGTTCTGGTGGGAGAGTAAGATATGGACACTTAACTAAGGCAAGGTACAGAGCAATGTTAATCTGATAGCCGGTGCATGAGGCGTGCAAGGCCCCGTTTCTTCATAAAACCGTATTCTACCTCAAAGTTCATTGTCTTCTAAAAAAGAAGCAAAGTGTCTTTCTACTTAAGCTTCTCCAAGGCCTCTCCCCTTCACTCCAACCCTGAGACCGTCAGAGTCTCGCCCTTCTGGAAGCTGCGTGGCCTTCGGTAATTGCGAGAAAGCAGCAACAGACGGCTGCGCCACTCTGACGCCAGGACGGCGTCTAGATAATTGGCGATTAGGTATCAACCTATTCATTAGACGAATTATTATTTAGACCCTCCTATGTGCAGAGACTTCTAATAGGTGGGGTTTCCCCGGAGGGAAATTCCTGGCCTCACCAAGCTTGCATTTCGTGTGGAAGAGAGGGGAGACGGCCTGGTGAACACGTTCACGCCGGGCAGCGGCGGGAAGAGCAGAGCAGGCGAGGGCTCTGCGGCCGCGTTGCCGTGGAGCTGCCTACGGGCGTGTCACCTCCCTTCTAAAGGGTAACCTCCTTCCGGAGTTGACTGCGAGTTGGCCTCGCTTTCAGCAGTGTGGATAATCCTGGGGTCCACTCTGCAAATACATTCAACTCCAGAGGGACTTCTCCTCATCGGTCTACTGTCTTAAGAGAGTTTCACAGCACTTCTCGAGGGAAAAATCCAGCAAGGGAAATACCACTTATGAGTCTGTACAACCCACCGGGCACCTGGCCGAGCGCGGTGCACGTTCCCTTCACGCGTGTGCGGGATGGGAGGGATCAGAGCCTGGGCTCAAGCTCTACGGGCAAACTCGAGAGCAAGAAATAAAAATATTCTAGTATGAGTGTTAGGAGGACAGGTGTGAACATGAATTATGTTTTAAAAAGTTGATATGTAAGGGTCTGGAAGAAACCTTTTCCCTACCCCAGACATACTTTATTTATAAATACAGGGGCAAATATACTTAATTATTATTTCTATTAAAGAAGTTCAATCTGCAAGGCATCAAAAAAAAAATTACATCTAGTGAAAATGTAACTAATTCATCCCAAAATGAACCTGAAAAACTCCTCTACAGAACAGGGAAAACACTAATTTCTTTCTGAAATTCCTAAGAAGAGCTATATGAACAGTCATCACACAAAGATAATTATTATTTCTAAAGGTAATAGCTTAATTATACTTTTATATTAAATTCCTTAAGAACATACATAGCATTCATATCTACAGCAGGTTGAGACTGCAGACAATTCCTTAATGTGAAGAAAGCAAGCAAGGAATTTGGGGAAGTACAGATCACAGATGGCTGTTACCTCACTCTGTGACTTTGTGTGAAACTGCACTTTGAGGGCTAGAGTGGGTGGCTCAGGTCACCACAAGCCACGAAGGTCACACTGTCACTTCTCTGTCAGCTAAGAGACGTGCTCACCATTGCTGCCCTTCCTCCTTTCTCGTATTTTAGAGCAAAGACTTCGATCTTTGAACGATTTAGCTCATGTTTCAACATCCTTCTTATATGCATTAAATACAAAAAAATGACTTTTGCAAATGAAAATAATATAAAGTGGAAAGCTTATAAAATTATGTAACAAGTGCCCTATTTCGATTTTTATGTCCTATTTTCAAGGAATTCTAAAAAAGTCTTTGGAAAATCATGCAGGTGATGGAAATATTCTGTAATTATCGCATTTTTTCTTCCGTGTCTTGTTTACTTGGTCTAGTGCACACAGGGTCGAATTAGAGACTTCGGCAAAGCAGTCTTAACAAAGCTACAATTTGGGAGAGTCTCGCTGTGTTCTCTAGAAATCTAAGTATTCCAAAGTTCTTTCCTTTATTTCCCGCATTATTCTACTCTTTGCCACTTGGATGAAACACTGGAAAATATTCCTATTCTGTCTATTCTACTGCAAGCAAAATGTTCTCTGAGATGACATTTCTTTTTTGACCGTCACGGTTTGCCCAAATGCTTTATTTCCATGACAAACAGTGCAGGTGTGGGATTTCTGTTCCCTGGCTCCATGGTGGATAAACACTGAAACATGTGCTCTGTTCTAAGTGGTTCAGTGGGATAAAACCTCAAAGACAATATCAAAGTTAGAAATCTCACTGCTTCTCTCCGGCCGCAGCAGTGCCTTTGCCTTCTTGTTTTGGCTCCCGCTTTCATGGAGGGCCTTGAACCAGTCCCGCAGCCTGTTTGCCACTTCCCTGAACTCCAGGTCGCCGCACGCTAAAAACGAAGAGAAAACACACAGGTCTTGAGTAACGACTTAGCACACTGCAGCAAGATTTCTCCAGGCATTCCAAGCAACTGAAAGGTAACAACTTCTAAAAGTAAAAAAATGTAATATGAGGACTAATTGTGTCGCAGCTTTTTCAAAACTAAAAAACAATTACTTGCTTCGAAGACAGCAAGATGTAGTACGGCGGTCGCATTTTGTTTAACAGAGGAGGACGGTTAGCAGAACTCCGCTTCCACTCCGGAGGAGAGTGTGACTCGCGGCTGCGGATTCCTACTGTTAACAACGCACGCACTGGGTCAGGACAGTCATGGGACGGCGCCTTTGCCATGGTAAGGTAGTGGGATATCCGAGAGCACAAAGGGCTGAAAATCCAGAATGAGCAGTATACATGTGTCGTTGGCCATACCTATCATAACATGTTGTGATTTATGACCCCTCAGGAGTACACTCACAATACGTACAGGAAGGCACGTGTATAAATGCACGCTGTTGCTCCTTATTTAGTTTTATCCTCTATATTTGCTAAGCACAGAAAAGGAATGGGCTGTATTATCTGCCATTGGGAAAGACTATAAAATATTTAAGAAAATAATATCATTAAAATTATTTAAAATATGTAAAATATTTAAGAAAATAATATCATGTTTCTGTTGTAATAAGTCAACTATTAGGCAAGTTTGACATTTTGCACTATTTAGCTTCCTCTTTGTTTTTAAAAAATATTATTTACGAATTATTATATTCTTTAAAATAGTCTATACAATAAACAGTAGCAGAACGCATCATGTGTGAGTCACTAATGTTAAAATATGGCATTCGATTTCAGCAATTTGCTCTGAAAATATTTTGAAAATATAAAAAAATCACCTATTTATATTGCCTAGAGGACATTCTTACTGCAGACCTATTTCCTGTGCGAGTTGCAAATGTGCACTTTCCTCAGCTGACAATCATTCCAAACTCATACTCTTCTGGCTCATTTTGTTAAAAGTAATAATTTGTGGAATGATACAATGTTGTATCTAACATACAGCACACAGCATACTATGTAGCATGTCTCTACAGTTGGGCATGGTCTCCAGCGCCCCTGCAAGGATGTGCAGAAGAAAAACAAAAACCTACTGAACAGGAACTTTTCTTCATACATCCACACGCACATCCGTGTTTACGAGTGCACCCCATATCTCTAGAAGGATGTATACGAACAGAACAGAATGATCTTCAGTTAGGGGAACTGGATGAATGGCAGGAAGTGGTGTGAAGGAAACTCACTTTTACCATTTTTCCTTTTAAACTGTGTGCTATATTGCTGCATTAATATTCAAAAACGAATAAAAGTTTGAAGTTTCTTTAAAGAAATAATTACAAATGCATCCAACCCTTCACCCAGCAATCCTCTTTTTTCAGAGTTATCACACAGGTATGCTACAGGTACACAGTTAAATTTTGCTGTATCATTTATTCATCACTCGAATGTTTATAGCAACACAATTCACAATTGCAAAGATGTAGAAACAACCCAAGCGCCCATCAGTACATGAGTGGATTAATAAAGTGTGGTATACGTATACCATGGAGTTCTACTCAGCTATAAGAAACGATGGTGATACAGCACCTCTTATATTTTCCTGGATAGAGCTGGAACCCATTCTACTAAGTGAAGTGTCCCAATGGAAAAATAAGCACCGCATGTACTCAGCAGCAAATTGGTTTTAACTGATTAACACCTAAGTGCACACATAGCAATAACATTTGTCGGGCATGGGGCAGATGGGAGTGGGGAGGGGGGCAGGTATATACACACCTAATGGGTGTGGTGCGCACCATCTGGGGGATGGACAGGCTTGAAGCTGAGTCGAGTTGGGGCAAGGGCAATACATGTGACCTAAACATTTGTACCCCCGTAATATGCTGAAATAAAAAATAAAATAAAAAGTCAAAAATTAAAAAAAAATTAAAGTTTATAAAGTAAAAAAGGTATAGTAAGCTAAAGTTAATTTATTATTGAAGAAAAATATCTTGCATGAGCTCTGTGCTGCCTAAGTGCACAGTATCTACAGAGGCTAGGCTGGCCAACAGCGGTGCCCGAGGCCTTCACATCCGCTCACTGACTCGCCCAGAGCAATCCCAGTCCCGCAAGCTCCGTTCATGGTAAACGCCCTGTCCCATATTTTCACTGTACCTTTCCTACGGTTAGATATGTTCAGCTGCACAGATACTCATCGCCGTGCTACAGTTGTGAACCATACTCGGTGCGGTGGCATGCTGTGCAGGTCTGCAGCCCAGGAGCGCTCGGCTACCTGGCCAGCCTAGGTGGGTGGGTGGCGGCTGGCCCGTCTAGGCTGGCGTGAGTGCGCTCCATGGTGCTCGCACGTAACAAAAGCGCCCAACGGCACATTTCTCAGACGACATCCCTGTCGTTAAGCAAGGCATGACTGTGTCTGGTAGACGCGGAAATTCTGTTACGTGAATAGATCACAGCTTGTTAAAAACTACCACAATCAGTACTGTGCGCCCTGAATGTGTATATTGTTTCCAGTTTGATGATCATAAAAAGAACTAGGACGAACTTTCATTCAACAGTTATTACTGGCTCTGATCACTGTATTTCCTTTGAAAAACCTTAAACACGGAGTTACTGGGTCACAGAATGAGAACAGTTTAAGGCTGCCAGTACAAGTAGACAACATGTTTCTGTGATATGCAAACTATTCATTCCAGAAAATATTTTAAGCATATTTAAAATGTGCATTGTTTTATCTGTAATTTATTTATTTATAATTCAGTTGTTGAGGAATGAAGTAGTAGAGGTATGTAGTAATTTAAACAAATTCACTGAAAGTTAGCAAACATTGTCCGGTATAAAAACAGCATAAATGGCATGAAGCACAGATTTTTCCAGCTGACAATGAATACAGTGTGTGTAGTCCACAGAACCGACACTGCACAAGGAAAGAAAAGCAGACAGACAGACAGATTCCTGAACTTCCCCAAGAACATGTTCATGAGCTTTAATGTAAATGTCAGTTTCCACATTCTGTTCAATCGTGAGCCGTGTGTTTCATAGCAAGCCAGCGCACAAGTTTTTCCCGAAGCAGAATTTAAAAATGTATCCTTCACTGCCTCGAGGCAGACAGCACCTCAACAAAACACACAGAATCCATAAATTAGAGAATCAGCAAACATTTCCTGGCTGATAAATAAATGATGCTGAACACTTTGCAGGTACGCCAGAGAGTTTTTTTCTGTAAACTCGTGACCTCATCCCCTCCCGCATGTCCCACCTCACACCACCATCACCTTGGGGGTTAGGATTTCAATATCAGGATCTGGGGGGGCGGGGCACAAACATTCAGATGATAGTGCTCTTCTAGAAGCTTCACTTGGTAAATGAAGATGAACTGGAAATTTAAAGCAGAAGGTGTATGTAAATGTGTATTATACACGTATACACACACATACATATGTTTGTGTGTGCACAGGCTTACACACACATAACTGTTTTATTATAGAGTAAAATGCACCCAAGTCTCATTCCAGAGAAGGTTTGAGCTATTTTAAACTTTTTTTCTTAAAAAAATTCAGTTTAAAAACTCCTCTAGGCATTGTTGCCGATAGACAGATGGATTTGGAGTAGGCGCTGTCAATAGACGCAACAGTCAGGTCTCTTCTGCACAAGAGTGCAAAATCAGGTAAGCTGCTCTCCAAATCCTCTCTAATAAAATACGCACGTGCACACACACACACATATCTTAGAGAATTATTCCTTACCTGGGCTTAGTTCAGTCTGAGTGTGCTCTATATTGAAGTTACACTAAAAATTTTAAGCGATGAATTATGAAAGTGAAAGCATGAGTCCTCAGCATCGCTATAAATCACACGGTTTTATTAAAACATGAGCTACAATTTCCATAGTCATTAAAGAATATTGATGTTCACAAGTGCCTTTGAAACTCTGTGAATCATAAATAATTTGCTTTTTGAGCATCAGCCTAAGGATGGGGGTGCTCTGTACCGAGGGCATTTCATGCAGACCTCAGAGAGAACGTGCTGAATGGATGGGTTTCTAGGCAGGCGCGCGGGCAGCAGTAATACATGATTCATTACACTCTGACAGCCAGTGGCATTTTGGGTTATAAAAAGGTCTCTCAGAAAAGCAAGAGCAACTAGGGACAGGACCAAGTGACAAAGTGGCATTTCAGGAAAACATCTTAAAGATGACAAACTTTGTTGGAGTATTTAATGTCCTGCAAAACACAGATAAATCCATTGCTTTCCCGAGGATAGGAAGAGAACGAATATTAGGTTGTGCCAACACTTTTCAAACTAAAACATCTGAATCAATGTATCTGAGCCTTAAAATATCTGCTGGTCTTTTCTACCGATGGAACATGGCACTGAAAGCTTAAAGTTGCCTATGGCATTTAATAACGACATAACCCAAATGCTATTAAAGCCCCGTGTCTGGAGTTATCACTGATTTGCATTTCTGGGGAGAGCAACGAGAGACGCTTATCTAATTCGCCTGAGTGTGTACAGGATTGTTTCCGTCCTTTCGTTAAATGCAGACTCACCGCAGCGTTGATCAGAGGCGAGAGCTTCCTCCAACTGTAACATCTACCCTCTATTCTCAGGGAACCCCAGAACATTAAGTCGTCAACGAAACCGAGAGGAAGAGGGGCTCGCTGCAGCTCCTGCGGGAGGAAGCGGGGATTGGGGATGCTGCTATCAGCAAACGGGCGATGGGGCCTTGCACTGTGACCTTCTCCTGGGTTTGGGGACACCGCGGGCCCACGTGACCCAAAGGCACGCATGAACTTTCTAGGGCTGCCGCAGCGAGGCCCCACAGACTGGCGGGACTGAATGACGGAAGCCACTCCATCACCGCGCCGGAGGATGGCAGTCCAGGGTCAAGGCGCCCGCAGGCTGGCTCTCTCTGCAGCCTCTCTCCGTGGCTGGCAGGCGGCAAGCTTCTCCTCTGATCCGG